TTTTCAGCTTTAAACATTATGCGCATTGAGGCTGAAAATCGTGCAAGATCTCGCCTAGGGGATGTCCAACAGTTTCTTCTCCCTTCGATTCGTTATCATCGGTCAACATACTCGCGGTTAAATAATAGACCCATCGAGAAATCTCCTTGCTCCCGCGTTGGAGACTTCGAACAGTTCGAATTCTCGTCCGACTTGCTCGCCGTTTTCGACCTCGCTACCAGCGAGCCATATTCCGGTCATCGACGCGGCTATCGATACCACCCCCCCTGTGTACATGCTTCGCGAGGGTGTGCGCGACGAGATTCATTCCGTCGGTCTCGCTTCCTTCCCTAAAAACCACCACCGACCACCACCCACCCGTTTCGCTCGCTCACCGAGCCAACGGAGCGTAGTCCGAAGATCCGAGCGCAGACGGAGCGGAGATACCTAAAGATCCGTCTTCGACGTTACGCCGCTGCCGGCGGATGGGGGTGGCGGACGACAGGGGCGTCGCCAGCGGGGAGCTGGTGGTGGCGGGGGTGGAAGAGCGCGGGCACCGTGCGGGGGGTCGAAGCTTCCAGTCTGCGGAGCGTGCACCTCCCTTACTGTGTGAGGGGGGAGGGTGGGTGGATGGGTGGCACCGGCTCCTCGAACTGATCAATACCTGAAACACCGCGAGGTATCGTCCCGCTATTTCCGGTGTCCCAGCGCGGCCGGAAATGAAGGCGTTAAAAATATACTCCAGATAGCGCGCGCCGGTATTATATCCTCTCCGGTACAGGTGGCCTCAATAGTGACGAAGAAGCGCCGGTCCTCCGGAGAGACGTCTCTCGCGATGGAAGAACGAGTTACAGTCGGCTCTCGTGACTCCGACGAGAGGGCTGGTGTGATTAAGCATGGTCACTACGGTTTTAGCCCTTGCTTTATCGGTAGATTACGTCACCGAGAAGAAGACCCACCGTCGGACCGTCTTCCCACGGCGGAGGTTAGCTTCCGCGTACTTCGCGGTGAGAGAAAACCGTTCTCGGCAAGTAGCAGTAACGTCACTTCAACGTTGTAATTTCCTACTTTACGATGTTACCGTTACATGTAGCGTATGTTGTACTTACTATTCGTTGTATTTACAGTGTCGAGTTGGAAATTGTAATATTCATACTTGTTTACTGTTGTTTAGCGATTGCTGGGTCCTTAGCGAAGAACGGCCCTTCGCGATGTCGCGAGATCAGTGATCGTCGTTTGATTTCATCTTCCATCGCGCCGCTTTCTTACCTCACTCGATCCTCGCGTATTTCTCGGCAGATTTCCGTCTCGGAAGGTCGTCCCGAATCCTCGACGTGTGCGGAATCGTCGATGTCCACCGGCGCGAAACCACATTGACGCGGTTACCTCGCCGCTTCGGTCGTCGAGCTTGAACCGGCTGGTCGAGATGATCGTTATTGGCGCGTACTGTACGCTCTCTCGGGGGGCGAAGTCTCTTTATCTGCGGGGGCCCGGCCTGATCGACTTTTAATTATAGCTATCTGCTACCTGGTTCGCTGGTGTTCGGCGCGCAAGGGTGAGCGCGAGGAATCGGCGCGCCGAGATGATCGATCCCGAAGCCATTCTCGCGGCTGGAATCTTCCTTTCGCGGTGGTTACTGCACGCGAATTCGATACTGCGTGAATATTTACGGCCGCTATCGCCTACCTAATTGTGTAGATTAATGTACTGCAGCCGAGGGAAGGTGCGATATACCCTGTTAAAAAATCACATAATCGTGAGAGAAATCGGGGGCGGGGAAGAGACGGGGTGCCCCATCCCCCTAAATTTTGGCAAGGAGAAACAATTGAAAATCGTAAAAGCAAGGAAATGCAACTGATATATCACAGTCTACGTACTAGCAAAGGCTACGTGTTGTGCAATGAAAAACTAATGACAAAATATTAGTACGCTTTATGAAAAGAAATGCGATGAAAATCTCTCAGTTTCACCACCAGACCGTTCTTTGGCCCAACCGTGCACTACGAGAGCCTCTGAAAGGTCCTTTAGTACATTGCGAAGGATGAAGATGACCTGATTGCGGTCAATGTCAGAAAATCGCCTCAGCGGACTATGTATGTTAAGTGCGCGCAGAAAAATGGCGCTCGCGAAAAGAAGGGAGAATAAGGAAGTTCGCCGGAGATCCGCGAAAACTTGCTTTTGATATAAGTGTGCTAATTAGTTCCCCCGTGGAAAAGAATTCTAAGCGGCCCTGATTGAAATTCAAGCTGCATCCCACAATCGGGGGCGCGTGAGAGAGATCGACCCTTAATTGTTACATTTCGTCCGACCGTCGTGTCGAGCGCTTTGATTACGTGATTATGTCTCAAGGATTACCGCTGAGTTCCGCTTAATCTAATCACAAGCAGCGAAATGATTACCAGTCGCGTCACCTCATCAACACTCGCGTGTCGTGCGATAAACATACTCCTTTGCGGACAAACTTTGCGACGAGATCGTCTCAAGTGACATCTCTGTCGGCTGGTGTATTCCTTTGGATCCTGGCATGGTCGGAAACCTAATTCGACCGAGTGGGCGAAACGATTTACATCGTCGTCCCCGATGACTCGTAACATTCTTCCTCGCGAGTGGTCTGTGAGGAAATGCTTCTCCGGAAGAATCTGCGGATAACTGTTGAGCCGGAGGGCGTGACCAGGAGTGCAACGTGAAACTCCGGATTTGCGAAATCGCGACGAAGGGGTTGGTTTAGTATCAACAGGTAGAGCACGTTCTCTTCCCCACCGGATAAACCCAGGGCTAAGCGCCGGCGCTGGCTAAACCTCTTACACCCTCCCGAGGGTGTGACCTACCCTCTCTATTGGCCCGGCCGGACGTGTGAAAAAGAGAGCGAGTCAGTCCTGCGCGGATAAGGTCTTTTTAAAACTCGCCCGGTGAGGGTGGAGCTTCGTCCGAGCTTTCTCGTCTCATGTCAAGCATTATTCGCAACGAATACTCGACTTTCTCGGTAGGAATGATCGCGTGATTAATTTACTCAGGCCCGTTGTCCGCCGCCTTTCATCTATATTGACTTGTTACATCCGTCGATATGATTGATCGAACGATGTTAATCTTTTTTAAACGCGACTTTCTCCACTCAATCGTAATACGTGGGCACATCGAAATCAGTTTTGCCACATTGCTGTATATTCGTGTGTGTATATGCACGTATCTTCCGCCTCAACACTAAGACGTCGGAGTCATTAATCTTCCTCACCGGGCAATTTGTCAGACTTGTCTCGCCAAAGCAAAGCACCTTATTTAGAAATCTCAGCACTCTTTTGCTCACTGCGCCTACATCCCGTTATGGTTCTTCACACAGTTCGCACGAAGCTCAAATCGCGTGAAAGTCGGCGCGATTTTCAATTCACAAAGCTGCGCGGAAAAATGCGCGACTTTTCAATCTGTGTGATAAAATGAGGACCTCGCGAAAACTCAGCGGGGAAGAAGGACGTCTCTGTTATTGCGACGGAACATGTTCTGTCGGAGTATTCGGTGTTAACTCGGTTGAGACAGCTGCGAGCAACATTGCCGTACGACTAAGTTTTCGCCGGTGATCCCCGGTCAACGGGAAATCAGTTGGACGAATTTTCCTTCCGGGTGTCAGCCGTAACGAGTCACTCGTATCACGCGTTGTAATTAATCAGTGCGCATATATACGGAGAAATAGAACATACATACGACGAGCTCTTGCGTCTGATCTAATCCTCTACGTTGGATATTCGGCAAAAAGAAATCGCCAGAGATACGGTCTTGCGGGATTGAGAGAAAACGATGAAAAGAGAACCGTAATGCGGCGACAGCGGCGAAGAGAAGGGGAAAATATCCGCATGGGTCAGCCGGGAGAGGCTTAGACCGCGGAGATGCCCGCTTCAATATCGGCTTTCGGGATACTCGAGATATTTATCTAATGTCTTACATTTTCCGCGGCACTGCCCATTCAAATTTCCATTCATGTCTTCTCTATGGAAAACCCCGTTTCCCTGGATCTCTGCCGCTTGCAAACCGACCGAGCGTCTCGATCCGCGCCCAAGCTCGTTGGGATACCCGCGTCTTGATAATTCAGCCACGCTGAGTATCGATAACGAGAAACTTTCGAGATTAAATGGCTCGGCCGTGTGACAAAGTTACGTGCAAATTCAACAGATTAACTGCCGAACACGAGTTATCTCGTAAGCGGCGTGCACATATATTCTCTGCTCCTCAATTGCGAGTTAACGCGCATAGACAGATGAAGATTTTTTCCTGAGGTTTGCTGAATATATATATATACATAATGACTAAACGAGCAAAAGTCACGCTGATTATAAAGTAATGTCGAGGACAGAGTTCCCTGACTGTGTCAGTCAATGTGTCGAGTAAACGCAATTCTATTTCAACAGAGTCTCATTGCTCGCTTCAACGTGAGAGCGCTGTTAAAAAATCAATCGCATTTCTCACTGAACGACGATAAGTGTTCGTTAAGCGCGCGCATGTTAATTACCTTAATTACCTCAGTCACCTTAACTTTTGATTAAGATCTCCCCGGAATCCAATAAAAGATAGAACAGACTGGTATCGTCCGTCCTGCAGCGCACTGGCAGGCGAAGTGCGCCACGTAGTAAGATCGTAAGTGCGTTCACCGTTCTATCTTTTCCCGATTTTTTTCCCCATTGCTCGGAACAACGAGCTCGACGCCTCGACACCTAGGCGGTCGAGTTATCTCACGGAGATATCGCGCGGTGTGCCCTCCGTTACTTATCAAAGATAACCGCTCTTAGTACTTCCAGAACTGTTCGTGGAACCGGTCCGCTCCGTCATCGGCCAGTGGAAAGTGATTTTCGGCGATTCACTTCGTCTTCACGTCCTACCTTCGCGTATATATCTATATATCTACGATGACACCGTCCACGATCGGAAGTTCACCGATACGAGCCCGATAACGGCGTCGAAGTGAATTATGGCTGTGAGAATGTGGGCTGCGTGCGTTCACTCCGCCTGACTCGGCACGGTGATGTAAAAGGAACATGGAGAGACGATCGATGATACGTCCACACCGCCTCTTTCTGTCGCTGATCACATGGCTGGGAATTTTGTCGATCGCGGCCTGCCAAAACTTCTGTCCGGCCAGGTGTTTGTGTCACTTCAATGAAATCGACAAACTGGTCGCATGCTCGAAACAAGGATTACAGACATTCCCCGAAAATATCAGCAACCTCGTGAGTGTGTGCTTGGGATTTTCCCACCTTTCCTCATCTTCTTTTAATATCGCGCCATTGTCAAACGCATTTAAGCTGGTCTCTTAAATACACATTAGTTATATTACCTCTCGGGTCTTATCGCCTCGCTAGAATCAAATAAGCAGTAACGGTGCATCGATAACGGGATGCACGCATCGGTGGGAATCGTCCGAAAAGACACGTCTGATCAGGGTAAATGAGTCACTGCGTCGATTAAAGTATGCAACTAACGACATACTAACGTTGAAATGTCGCGTTACTAAAAATAATTCTCGAATTAGCGTCGTTTGCTGGGTTTCACTTCGACTAACGTATCTTCGTATTGATTCCACTTCTATCCGCAACAAGTATTACGCGCGCTAATTATTCATTCAGATCGATTCTTCTGCGTCAGGTGGAAAAGTTGGACTTGTCGAGCAATCTTTTAAGCGAGGTCAGCGAGGATGTGAACCGACTGACCGAGCTGCTGTCTCTGAACCTGGCGAGAAATCGGCTCACCTCCCTGCCAAGTAATCTCGGACAACTGAAAAAGCTTATGATGCTAAATCTATCGGAGAACCAAATCGCGTCCATAATAGATATCGCTTCCACCAGCCAACTATCATCTCTGGCGTATCTATACATTTCAAGGAATCCATTACCTACCCTGGAAGGATTAACCAGCGTGCTTAAGGTGATGGACGCAAGCCACTGCCGTATGTATTAAAAATAATCCTATGTATAAAGTATTCATCGCCGCACGAGAATGTTCTCTCTCAAGCGGCGATTTCTAAGATCGTCGGTCCAGAGTGGATAATTTTATTCGTCCGAATACATTCGTATTACATGAAACTATACCACGAAGCTGTGGAAGTAAAGAAGAAGTTTTGCGAACAGTTATCAAAGAGCTGGGCAACACGACCTTGAACGGCCTGTCAAATCTGACCAGTTTGAACCTAGCGGGGAATCCGTTGGAGAGCGTCAGAAAACCCGTCAGCGCGAAGCTGAGATCATTGGACATGTCTGATTGCAACTTGAATATTCTGGAACCGGACACTTTCACCAGACTCCCGGGATTGGAAGAGCTACGACTGGTTAATAATCCTAAATTGGTGTATTGCACTCGGTAATGAGAGCTACTTTTCCTCCCCGGGGAAAAATGATTATATATAATTATATAAAATCATCAATATGAATTTTGATCATATATGTGATTACATAATATACGATCATATATGTCTATGCAAAAAAAAAGATTATATTATGTCGCTTAATTAAATGTCGATATCGTGTGCTGTCAGAAGCACAAGTAGCATTTACTTCGATTGCATTTGCACATAATTTGTAAACGACAGTATTTTTTCGTTGTGAATATTATTTAGTCATATATAAGCAAATTTCTTACGTGATTTTTTTCCCGGGGTTATTGTAACTATATGTGATTATTTGCATTAGAACTGTCCAAGGATCGCATGGTAAATATGTTAAATGATTTGTCAGACAGAGCGCGCTCTAGCATAATTTTGTGAGATAAGGGAAATATTTTAGGTCATTTCATTGTAGGTACGCCACCATACAGCACCCGAGGTTGAAGAGACTCGACGTGTCGAGATGTAGGCTCGACAGGCCCGGTCTTCATGGTTTCCCGTCGTTAACGTTCGCCCGTCTCTCCCATAATGCAATTAACATGCTGCCAAATCGCATTTTCGCCAAGAACAAGCAACTTACGCAGTTGTACATGGACGTGAACCACTTGCACAGTATAAACGCCAGCACTTTCGAGGGTTTGACGAAGCTTCAGATGCTCGATCTCTCCATGAACAACATCAATTATGTTCATGAATTTGCATTGCGCGAGAGTATAAGCCTCAGAGTCTTGAATCTTTCCTACAACGAACTACAGACATTACCTAGGCTAACGACGACCGTTATGTCGTTGGATGTGTCTTCCAATAAGATTAGCAAACTCAAGGCGAACTCACTGGAGAATATGCCCGCGATCAGAAACTTGTATTTGAAGAATAACGAACTGCAAGTGCTACCGCGCCATTTAAAAGCGACGACGTTGAGAATACTGGACCTGGAGAGGAACAGGCTCGTCGGGTTGTACAATGAAAGTTTCGCCGATTTGCGATCATTACAACAGATTGACTTGTCAGGTATCAAACTTCGGACCGTGTATCCATGTGAAAACTGACACCGAAACAGTACGCGAAAGAGACATCCGTTTTTATAAAACTAACTTGCTAATATGACACATCATACGTTGACTTTTCAGTGGTCCTAATTTATTATTTTTATCGATATTGATATTTCTCGAAGTTGATTCTTTTTTTGTAATTACGGTTTTCTTTCATATCTTTCATATGCAAGGAAAAAACATTAATCTTAAATCAATGATAGATATTCTCATACATTCGCATCTCTTTTTACACGATGGATACACACGGTGCAAAAAATCGTGTAAAAAAAGTGTAAAGAAATCGTGTAAAAAAATTGATTTGCAACAAAGTATAAAACTTGTGTTAAAGTAACGCAAATTATACAAAAAATAACTTAAAATATAGAAGTAACAGTCACTGAAAATATTTTATTTAATAAACACGTAAAAGAAAAGCTAATGTGTTGAGGAAAATGAAAAAAAAAATTTCTTTTTTCTTAAATCGATATTTTACGAAAAAAAAAACGTGCAAATGTGAATAAAGCGCGTTAAAAAAGTCGTGTAACTGTGAATCGTGTAAAAAAACATCGAGTAAAAAAAGACCCAAGTATATATAAGCAAAAATATTATAATCTTCTTAGAAGAGTTTTTAGCCTTGAATTGATTAAATTTGTACTGATGCAAATATTATGCGTTCAATTCAAGATTGAAAATCTTCGAAGAATATTATAATATTCCTGCTTATATATGAGAATATCTATCACTGACTTAAGATCATTCTTTTTTACGTGAGGTTCGATAAAATTAATAATTCGACAAAATTACATTTTAAAGATCACGATTTCTATCTCATACGATCGTTTGATCCGCAGGGAACCGTTTGACGGAAGCAATAAATCCCGACATATTCGTAAACAATTCACTGTTGTCCGCGATCGGCTTAGAGGATAATCCATGGCGATGCGACTGTACACCGCTCTACATCACCTATCAGTTCTTGACGGATCCTCCTGCGAAAACGGCGAAATCTACTCTGCTTTGCCAGAGCCCGGCGAACGTGTCCGGCTTTTCGTGGGAAGCCGCGTGTTTCGACGTTTGGAATCGCTATTCCCTTCCCAGTTCGCATAAAGCTGCTTGGGGAGTGGTGCTGGTCGGCGTACTTATTTCGTTTATTCTATTTGGCAGTTTGATGTCGATCAGATACACCATACGGATGAGGAGGAGGGCCGACGAGCATCTGCGGAATCTCGAAAGAATGGAAGTCATAGAAAGATTGCAAATTATACAAGCAAGGTAAATACATCTTCGGATCATTGATCACCGCCGAGTTTATCGCGTTCGTTTCGTATTTCTCGTGAAATTAATATACATGTTAAAATAGATAAATGTGCACTAAGCGAGCGAACAAGGAACAGGCAGCGATTGCAAACTGTCGTTGTTATAATTTGGAAAATGTGTATGCTCAGTTGCAAGAAAGTTGCAACACTTTTCCGACGAGTTTCGCAACGTATCTCGTGTTCAAATGTTTGTATTAATTTAACACAAGGTGCATACGTTGAAAAGTAATATAAATATTACTCCAGAAACGAACACAAAATTAAATATGTCGATCGACACTGAAGTATAAAATGTGTTATTTTAACATTTCTACACGTTGAATATCGACACAACAGAAAATGTTGAGATAATATAAATACAATTCAACGAACATACGGGTGTGTAACGGGAAAAGTTAACATAAACACTTGAACAAGAACCGAGTTTTAACGCAAGTACAACATGATTTTATTATATATGCTGTAACAAATCCAAACGTGACGTCTCTGGTTGATTTACTCCCAAGGCGGTTCACCGAAGAAAGTTCAGGCGCCTTCGTATTACACACTCGCTGTTCGACACACGCATTCACGGTTCGCGCACTCGCGGCTCGTTCATTGTTTCCTCGCTCAGTTGCTCGTGCACCCGCATATACGGGCGATTTTTCGCCCTTACGTCGGTCCGACGACGCAAAATTGACGTTTCAACGATTCGACGCGTCCCGTGGCGTGCCCTGGATTTTCGAAAAAAAAATCCGTGATTTCGTGCGCGATTCCATGGACTTTACAATCGAGAGGGTTGCGCCAGGTAAGAGGAGCGGCTATCTGCAACGGATAAAACAGGTATCCTACCCGTGAGATCCGCAACCGACATCACAGCACAGATTGACATTACAATTTCGCAAGCTGGTACACGCAACCTTCGCAGGTGACACCGGAGAGAGTTTACCGACGCGGCTCGAAATTCCGGACGGACGCCGCGAATGTATCGCGTTTGAATCAAGAATTTCCCATCTATTCGCTGACGATTCGACTAACTCGATGAAATCACCCGGGAGGCGTAGCGAATGTTCCTTTTTTTCAGGCATCACCGCGCGAACGAGGAGCAGCAGGAGCGCTTGGAGCGTCTGGAGCGGTCCGAACGCGCGGAACGTCCGGCCGAGCCGAGGATTCATCCTCTGGAATTAATCGGCCCGCCTACGTACGAAGAGGCGGTCCACATGCCCCGGATGGTGCACTCGATGGACGCGCTGAACGAGATCGTCGTCGAGACCGGCAACGTGAACGTCATCATGGGCTCCGTGGATAATCTACGGATGAAAAAGAGGAGAACGCGTCGGGCCCGTAAACGCACCCAGAGCGAGGACGACCTGCTCAGAAGGGAGGAACGTCGGCAAGTGCGGCTGCGGAGGGAGAGGAACTCCATCGGCAACATCCTCGACGTCGAGCAGCCGCGGGACAACGCGAATCCCAGGAACCCGAGGACCAGCACGGCGCGCAGGTCCAGGAGGTACAGCGTCGCGGACGAGTCGATCGAGTCCAGCGGCAGCAGGGACAGGCCGCAGACGCCGAACGCGAGGAGGAGGAAGAGGAAACAGGTGGTCAGGCGCGAGCACGTGACCGACGACGAGGACTCCGACGCGCCGACCTTCGGCTCCGTCCGATCCGTCGTCATCAGGCAGCTCAAGGAGGAGCCCAGAAGCGGCTACAGGGAATGAGTCACTCGCGGGATCGCGAATCTTTTCTCACCCGAACCGTCCCTCGAGGGTGCGCATTCCGAGATTACTTCGAATAAAAATGCAGAGGGGGAAGGGGGAACCGCCGATTTCTTCGCTTCTCACCGCACCTGTCAACCGACCCGCATTCCGTGTCTCGCCCGATTACGAGCTATTTTCCCTCTTTCCGGGGACTTCTTGCGAACCAACCATCGATCACACCTGACGCTGAATCAACGGTGCGAACGTGGGATCGGCGATGTACGCGTGCAGTTGCACGCGATAGCGTCGTAACACCTCGCTCTCACCTCTCCGGACGAACCGCTTTTCTTTCCCTGCGTACGCATTTATCGTCGCCCGCGAGAGGGTTAACGATCGGGCAAATGACGAATGAAACAGGCCGATAGCGCGAGATTCGCTCCGAAAGGGGCAGGTACGACCGCCTTTCTAGAATCTTCCCCCCTCCTCCTCCTCCTCCTATCCTAACTGTAATAACGTGAAATTAGCGGTTGTCGCGAGGCGATCCCTCAGATCACGATGATTTCTTGGCGACCTAAAGAGGATTCAAACGCGGATCTCGAGATTACAGGGCTGATCATTGTCGGAGCGTCGTTTGCGGGAGCGAGGGAGAACGAGAGGCGGCATGTGTAACGGGATTATATAATAATTAGAATAATTAATTGCCGAATATCGAGCAACATCCGGCGGTAACACGGAAGGACTCGTTACCGATTCGGTCTACGCTTCTCAGGACGCGCTTTGATTACAGTCGCTGCTTGAAACTCGCCCCTCGTGTGAGGAATTCCGAGTTGGATCCGAGTCCTTCGGTTAGATTTGATAATGCACGTGACATTCCACACGGCGAAGAAACATTTTGTACTCAAAATCGGCCCTTGTGTAAATCTCTGTGTTAAATTTTTAATATACAAGTGTTGTTTCAATTATATTGTCTATGTTATTTCGATGTTTCGTGTTGCGCTGATATTCGATTTATGTGAGTGTTAAAATAACACATTTTATTAACGCTTCAATGTCGATCGATGGATTAATTTCGGGCGTAATATTTGCGATAATTGCCGACATATTCACCCTGTGTTAGGTTGACAAACAAATTTATATTTGACACGCGCGAAATGTGTTGATCTCCCGCTGACAGCGAAGTTGCGGTCGGACGCGACCCCCCGTTTATTTTACAGCATCTACGCGTTGCTCCCCTCCTTAAGGAATGTTTCATGTCATTACTTACTTCTTCCGTCCGTTTTATAAATGAATTACATAGAAAGTGAACACAGAACGGAGCATGCGGGATCCGACTGGATCTTCTCGGATACATCGAAAGCCCATCCTCGTGAAGGTTGAATTTAACAGAAAATTTCCCGCTGTGTGCGAAAATCCCGATCTAACTGAATTCAAGCCCGAGTGTTTCACTTGAGACAAGTTTGAAGTAACGACTGTTACTAATGCGAGCGTAGGTAACGCTAAAACGACCTCGCTCGCTGGCGATTACGTTCGCCCACCGAGTCGGCCGACCGTCGCGAGGGAAACGCGGAGGTTTCCCGTTTAGAAACCTGCGAATCGCTTTAAGTCGTCGTTGAAATTCGGGACGGGTGTGGTTTTACGTTATCGCGAAGCGATATATACATTCGTTCGTTCGTTCGTTAGTTGTCTCTGTAATCTTCCCCGAATATCGGCGATCGCATCGTGACTTATCTCACCGCTTTCTTCGGACGCGACGTCATCGGACAATTACGGTGGGGCCGTTTATAGAACGTATCGGTGACAATGACGGTGACGTGTCCGACGTGATACGAACATGTAGGGGTCGAAGTTCCAGTGCGTGACCATGGTCAACGTACAGGCGGCGATATCAACAAAAAATAACACTCTCTTTTATTGATCAAAGACTGAACATATAAATAAAGTCTTTCAATCTTCGCCGAGCCGTTTATTTAATCGCGCCTCTCCTCCCGGACATTCAATCCGCGGCGGCGCGCGCTCTGTATCTTAAATGTTAAATCATATACGCCGTGCACGCAAAATCCGGCGACATTTGGCTTAAAGAATCGTACGTGAAGTAATAAATCGATTACGAGGGAGCGAGCGATAACTAACGTGCGATCTCGCTCCGTCTCTCTCGCACTGCGTCCGCATATCGCGTGATTTAGCCGATGAGGCGACCAACTTTGTCCACGAAATGATCCGTCGTGTACGCGAAGCGTCTCTCTCGTTCGTGCAGATCACACCACCAGTTGTGTCAACTTGAGGTTGCGCAACGAATAAATACGTCGATCCGTGATGAAAATTCGAGCGGCTCTCGCAACACCGCGACGCTCCCGCGCTCGGAATTGTCTCCGGTGAGGGGATGTCGCGCTGGCTCCGCTGAGAAAGTAACGCAACGACGGGTTATTACATTATGCGTTTTCTACGAACGCGAACGAACGGGGGAGCCCTGCGTCCACGTTTGACCGCGGCATCGAATCGCTCACCGAGCTCCACCTCCGTAAATCCTCTCCGTAACTCTGCGCACCATAGCGGCCGAAGACCATTACTCATAATTGGTAGGCTCGTCGTCTCGTTCGAATTGCAAATTTCCTCACGTTTAATCGCGCGCGGAGGCGCGCACTTAAAATGCGGCGCTAAAACTACGAGGTACGCGTCGCTGGCAAACAATCAGCGCGCGCGCGGTTCGATCTTCGCGGAAGAAGACGCTCGTCCGTCCTCGCGCTGACGGAGAGTATATATAATCGAAGCTTCGTAGAAAAAAATATGGCAGAATTGCGGAATGCTCCCTCGGCTCACTTGACGCGTGTCCTTGCCGCGATACTCGGTGCGATGGCCGGTCCTCGCGATAATCCAGGGGGGATCCTTGTGATCTCGGCGAATAACTGATCTCGCGAGAGATCCTTCAGGAAGACCGACTAGTGCACTGGCGTGAACTTCGAGACGTGTTACTCCGTCTGTGGGATCCTTAGGTATGTCATAAATATAGAGAGTGTCCCAGATATCGTGTATTTCGTCGACCGAACGAAGAAGGACGAGACGAGAGTGACGGAATAGCATTAGTCCTGAATCAAGAATAGAGATTTTTTTTCATGTATAAGCGGACATGTGATAATCTTCTTAGAAGGTTTATGGTCTTGAATTGAGTTCAAGTGACACTTGCGTCAATGCCAATTCAATCGGGACTAAAGGTCTTCCAAAAAGATTACGATATTCTTGCTTATATATGAGAATATCTATTCTCGAGGTAAGATTAATTTTTGTCCGTGTAGCTTGCGGATGAAACAGGCGCGATGAAACTGCGGGATTCCGATGATTGTTCTCGAGAAAAGCTCATATGTGACGAGTGAGTGCGAATGGAACCTCGTATTCTTATTATTACAGTTGTAACGAAATGTTTACTCGAACGAACTTTTCATTCGAATGGGTTTGGATTCAACTAACAGAGGAACCTCACTTATCCGGAAATTCGAATTTGACCTCAAACATTGAGTGGAGTAAAATTATATTTTGATGAAAAAACAATCGTTTTTAAAACGTTTTAGCGTAATTAAATAAAGATACTTTTACTATCAGACTTATTGCATAAAATATTTTCAGTACCTCGGATGGTTTATGATATATAACGAAAAAGACCGGAAGCTACTCTATACACTGAGAGGGAAAATATCTAAGAGATAAACAAATATTTACTCGGTAGGTATTAATAACAAAAATAAAATTTTTTCAAATGAGAAAACATACATTCTCTTAAATCTATCGCTTTTCATGAGGGCAATTGTTTATTCTATTCAAGTAAAAGAATTTACGTTTAAGTAAATATGTCATTGGTACCCACCAAATAAATACTTCTTTTATTATCCAGACATATTTTTTTTAATATTCACAATATAAGGGATGATTTCGCTCCTGACCTGAAGACCGTGTTTCGACACCAGCCGGAAATGTCCGAGTTCACCTGTTTAGCCTACCCGGAGAGTTTCAGTAAAATCGGAATTCCCGGATTTACGAGGCGCCGTTGAGAAAACACTTAACATCGGGCGCAGAGAAATGTTTAGACAAGACGACATACAGGAAGTGACGAACACGACATGTGGGGCAGTCTGTAAGATGTAAGATTCTCATCAAATATATACATGTAGCATTTCGTGCATCCGATTGTTCAACGTAGCTGCCTGAAGTGACAGCCCGTACAAGCCGCCCGTCGCACACCCTCAGCTTCCTGCCGCGAATACGGCAGTGTCCCTTCCGTCGCCACCGAGCCGGTAATCTTTCTTGTTACGAAAGTCCATCGCGAGGAGGCTCTCTGCACATCGGGCATAGGAACAACGACGTTATCGTAAATCACGTCCGGGGCGTCCGTGGTTCGTCGACCGAAAACCTCCCCCTTGGTTTTTCCCTCACTGCGCTCCGTCTCGTAGCTCTCGTTTGCTCGGCACACGAACACGTCGGTTGATCGATGTGACATTCGTTATCTCGTGTAGACTCCTTCCCCCTCCCCCCCCCCATCTCTCTCCCTCTCTTCCTCTTTCTCTTCCTCTTTCTCTCTCCTCAGGGCGCTGCTTCACGGCGTCTTGACTAGATTCTCACCGGCCATCGTTCGTGTGATGAGTATGGGCGTCTTTGGCACACTCTCGGGGATCTCCTGCAGGGTGATCCTCACTCTTTGGGCCCCGGGACTCAGCGGAGGTTCGTTGGGAGGCTCCGTCGCCGGCCCATTGCTCGTCGCGGTCGATGAAACGGAGGGCTGTACGGGGCTCGGCCGATCCGCCAGGAAGTTCTCCCTCAAGGAGTTCACGTCCACACGAGGCCTATCTTCCACCGGCTGCTCGTCCTGGGGGGCGATCTGCTTCCTGGGAGGCTTCACGGGGTCCGGGTAGTCGAGAGTGCCGTTGAGAGACCGCGGTGCTTCCTGGGTCTGATGATGGGGCTCGTTGCGAATCTTGTCAGGCTTCGCGTCCTCGTCGGGAGGAGCGGCATCCACGAGAGGAACGTTCTCGGCGTTGCCGTTCGAGGCGATTTTCGGCTGGGTCGCGTTGCCGGTGTCCGGCAGCAGGGACTTCTGCATGTCCTTCAGCTCCGTGCCGTTCTCCACGTCGCTGCGCTTTCTCTTCTTGCGGCAGAAGTCGCCCTTGTAAGCGGCGAAGCCGATCAGCGCGGCCAAAACGGCGAGCAGGATCGCCAGGACGACGTACGAGCCCATGCCTTTCTTCGACTTGTCCGACACGTCGGCCGTGACTCGGGACGGCACTTCGTCATCCAGACTGTCCACCTCGGCCCTGACGTTACCGGATTTCGAGCCGTCGCCCGCGGGTTTCATCACCTCCACGCCGTTGGCGATCGAGGGTGTCGCGAGCGTCACGGTGACCCTGGCGATATCGGCGCCGAGGGGCGGCTGGCTCGACACGATCGGCTCCTCGGTGGACGCGTCTAGGAACTTTTCCTCTTCGAAGTCTTCTTCGGGGTCTTTCCTCTCCGACGGGGTAGCGCCCAGGAAGCCGGCGATGCCGGTGACGACGTTCCAGATGAACGACCCGTCGTCGTTGTCGTCTTCCGTATTGGTCCTCTCCTCGTCGACGCCGGCTCCGGAGCCTTCGCCGGAAGCCTCCTCGCCGTCACCGGAGGCCGGATAAAACAGAGAGTCCTTGATCTCCTCATTCTTCCGCGAGATCTCGGTCGTCGTGACCGATTGCTCCTTCCTCTCCTCGCTGTCGAAGAAGATTTCGTCGTCCTCGGTGGTGGGCAGCAAAGAGCTCGTTGTTGTGCCGGCGGTCTCCTCCGCTACGCTCTCCGTCGTCTCTTGGTGGGCTGAGCTGGAGGACTCGGGATATCTCTCCGTGAAGTCCGAGGACACGGCCGGGAAGGGCGTCTCGATCTCCGCTTCCTTCGACCTCTCCGACGAGCCGTTGTGAACTTCCACGTATTCGTCCTCCTCCTCCTTCTCATCCTTCTCCATCTGATCCTCTTCCTCGGCCGCCTCCTCCCACGCGTCCCCTCCGGACCCCATGTCCGCGCCGGATCCTTCCGCCTGGTCGTTCTGCATCTCCCGATCCTGCTTCTCCAGGCTGCAGATGATCGCCGCGTTCGGCTTCATCAACGACGTGCCCTTCATATTGCCGGGGCCCGCGCACACGACCTTCTTCGACACGGTCACGCCCCTCTGCGCGATCAGATCGCGGACCTTGAGGGTGGCGCAGTTGCACTCGAGAGGATTCCCGTGGATGTCCAGGTGCCTGAGGTTCTTCAGGCGCACCAGCGCAGGCGGCAGCTGCCGGATGCCGTTCCTCCGCAGATTCAGGCTTCGCACTTGCGTCAGGCCCTCCAAGGACGCCAGTTCCAGGTACTCGATGCGATTCTCGCCGAGGTTCAGGCTCTTCAGCTCACTCAGGTTTTGGAAGGATCCCCGCTCGATACTCCTCAGGTCGCCTCCGGACAGATCCAGGTGCCTCAGGTTGCCCAAGCCGGCGAGGAGGCCCGGCGTCAGGGTGTCCCGCGCGACCGACGTCTTCAGGAAGTCCAGGTCCCGCGTGTCGATGTACTTGATGTCCTCCAGCTGCTGGCACGACGCCATCGTGCTGTTCTCCAGCTTGCAGAGCCCGTAGCTCCATCCCGTGTGGTACAGGAGGATCAGGAGGAACGACAGCGAGGGCGACGCTGCGCGCATCTTTCAATCTGATTAACCTGCAACACGGAAAGATCACGTGTGGGATCACGGTGAAACGATAATGCGCGCGCGTTTACCGCTTCGCTCTCTCATTACTGGCGTTCGACGATACGCGCTCGATTCCTCGGAGAGACGCGCTTTTCCGTCGCGCGATAAATATTCAGGAGACGCAGAAATGTGCGTCGAGCACTTCAAGGACCGTAGGATTGCGCAAGTCACGAGCGGCCGGGAGGGTACACACTCAGAGAAATGATTTGAGATGATGAGACAAGTTAATAATACCGATTACATCTCATTAGCCAGCCCGAACTTTGCCGTCATTGTTAAAAGTCGGTTATCACAGGTAAAACGCATTGCGAGCTACAACTTTATTAGCTGCAATTATAAGCACGAGTAGCTAAGATTGGTTAACTGTGCTCTCTCTCTTTCTCTCAGGTTACATCATCTAAGCGGGAAAAAAATTCGCTTCCACAGGAACTAATTCTTACGACTGTAGCTATACGTAGCTGTGACCGAGAATCGCAATCGGAAAAAAGGAATTAATTTATCCTCAACGGATAAAAACCAAGTCTGATAACTACATTTCAGTCATACTACATGGACAGTTAGTTTCTAATTGTCTATGCAAAAAATACGAAACACGTTTATACATCAATTGACGGAACCGTGTGGTATGTGGGATGATTAACTCGCGATCCACGCGGGGAAAAATAATTTGCTGACACAGCGGATTTCATGCCGCCGTAGAGAAATCTGTCAGTTGTCATGTTGGACAGCAAAACGACTTATTAAGAGTACTAATTGCCATTCACTGAATTATTATTTTGCCGAATCCACAAATTATTTTACGGTAAAAACAAATTAGTAAATGTAGAAAAACACTATTTCGTTCCAACAGCAAATTCACGTGTCATAAGGGGTTTTCTCCGTGGTTTGATTCCATCAGCGCTTAAGCGTGTTTTTCAAATATAACATAGCCATTAAATCAAGTAAATTCTAGACGAAATCGGCATACCGACGCCTTACTCTTTTAAGTCGAATCAATGAAAATGTCACTGATTGAATCAGTAAAACGGTATTTTACCGAAAATCAGTGAGTATTCGCTCGTTTTTAGTGAAAGCACTCTACCTTCACGCTCTTTTGTCCTGTATTTCACTGATTTTGGTCGGTGAAAGGTTCACTGAAAATCGCTGTTACGCGCCCCGTAGCAGAAATATACATCCATATACGCGCGTACATCCAACCGTGTGTCGTATTTGGTGCAGTTCGTGTAGTAGCAAACTCGAGAGTTAGAAGTCTCGGGTTCCAGTTTCACCAAGGTAAACGGGTTTTCCCAAGTGTACGATGTAAGTTAAATTAACTAAACCCAAGAATATTTCAGATAAAATCACCGACAACACTTTATTAGAATGGTTAAGATGATAAAAAAAAAAAAGAGTAATGGGTCATATCCTCTTTCACTGTTTCTGCGATTAGATTTCACCGATGGAAACAATCGCTGCTAACAACAGATTTCCCCGGCGAAATTTTCCCGATTTGCGATATTTATAGCTATGACTATCGCTGTATTATCGTTAAGAAGCAGCGATAATACACTGATTGCGCTTTAGAGAGTAAGCGGCAGCTTAAAAAACGACCGTTGACAATGAAAAGCGATGCGTTTCTAATCGGGGATGTGAATATTGATTTTAGCAGGATGCAGCTGATACTTGCCGCTGCGGCGTTGAAATTCAAGCGACTAATGAATTCAACTGTGGTAGCAACGACACCGTCCGTCCTCATTTCAATGACACATCTCAGCTGTCACAGGCTAGATTTCAGCTCCGACGGCTAATTCTTTCTCTGAGTGCGGTGAGCAGAAAAGCAAAATGTTTGCAACACACCGCGAGGGTTATTAATATTTTCGAATGTTAACGGCACGCCGTGAGATCGAGGTGAGCGTTACGCACGGAGATGGCCGACGTGCGAGACCGAAAGGAGGTCACAGCGACGGGTAGATGTGGACTTTTAAGAGTTAAATTGGATGCACGCATGCGGCGCGCTCGAAGACGCCGGCGAAGTAAGCGGTAATCGGAAAGTGTATCTAATCTCGACGGAGTGTGCACTGTTAAATCCAAGTGTGTTATTTTGACACGGCATAAACGCCCGAAAATGACCGCATTTGACCGAAGCCATTTTCCCAGATTTCTTCGTCGATTTAGTTCACCTCCTTTAAAACGTCACACAATCGCGTTAAATTAACACGTGAAATTTAGAAACGCGTCGAGCTAACGATCGTCCAATCGTGTTGAATGACACGACTTAAAACGACGAGATATGTGTAAAACGAAACGTGTGAAAAGAACTGATCGGCTGAAGGATTGGCAGCGTGTCTGCCGCTGAGATACATCGAAGCGAGATCGATCGAGAGGTAAAAAGGGGGCCGTTATTACTCATCGCCATTTCCGGTGTAAAGTTTCGCAACGCGCTCGCGAGACCTGTTATTTATTGTTTTACTATTACGCCGTACTGTGTAACACGGCGCAATCGCGCACGTAAAAGATTGTAATTTTCACGGTCCGAGCGGGCAATGAAACGTCGCTTCCGCGAGTGGTTATCTAATGTCGCAATTAGTACACACACGCCCGGCGATAATTACACCGGCACCTGCGAAACATCTGATCGCAGCCACGCGCCCGTAACACTCGATACTCAATTAGATCCGCGCTGAATCGGCCGTTGCGGACGAAACGGCTCATCGGCTAACCCGGCCATCCCGGCAATTCTTATCAGCGTTATTGTTATCATTGCTCCGGCAATCGTCAAAGTGGGACTGCAGATAAGAGTAGAGCACAGAGTGCAGTTCGTACGAATGGAGTAAGGGTTAACCCGTGAAAAGATATACGACCGCTATTACGCTTAATACTTCCATTAGCCGCTATAATAACTCGTACATCGCTCGGCGAGCAGCGAATCGTTTCGAGACACGCGCGCCACGTATCTATTCTCGAATCCTATCGACCTGTTTTTTCAACGCGATATTAATTCAATCAATTAAACGCAAATATTCCCGGTAAAATCATTGGCAACATCTCAGGATATAACCAAGATAATAAATAATTCATAAACGATATCCCTTTTCGCTATTTCTGCGGTAAGATTCGCATGATGGAAACCCTCGCCGATATCGGCAGATTTCTGCGGCAAAATCTCACCGATTCGCAGCGCAGTACTCACGACTGTGACCACCGATAACTACTGACTGCTCCTCAGCTGATACACTGATTGCAATTTAGAGAGCGGGCACGGTCTTTAACGCGTCTGAAACACGTGTTACTATATATAATTCGACGGCGTTCCTCGTCGATTAATAGGTGTGAATAAAAAAGCGGGAAAAATAACCAATGCGCGGGAAAAAATAGTCGCGAGATAAAATACGAGAGCGTGGAAGCTGTTTACAACGCGTCGGCGCAATTGCGTCACGATACGACTTCAGTTTGCCGATTTACGAAGCGCATTCGCCGTGCGCACGCTGTCGGGCCGAAGGAGGAAAATTTACCGGCGCCGAGACAGGCTCTTTTTCGTCACTCTAAAGACCTCTTTCGAGCGCTAAACCGGCACGACGGGCGTTCTATACATAGACGGAAGAACGGAGGGCGAGAAGTTTCGGCATGTTATTTGCATTATTTTGCATACTGTCGGCGGAGTCCGCGACATAACGTGACGTCATCGCCGCATATAAACCGACGCGAATAAAAGAACGCACGCCGATGATTTCGCGCTCCCGGATCGTCAATGCGAGCGTTGAACTCTCTCACGCGATCGATCGCGATCGTGTTAATCGATAAGCTGCGATATTAGACGTTTCCTCTTCGCGCGTTAATGTCTCTCCTCGCGGGATCGACGAAAGGGTCCCTCGCTTATCAGTGAGATAGCTGAAATAACGGACACCATTGATCGGAAGAATCTTAACAAAGACACCGATATAAGCCGCTGTTGATTTCTCGCGGATTGCGTAATCGGAGAACTGTTCGCCTCGCTTGGTATCGCGTGATTAACGGAGGCGAACCGACGAAACTCGCATCGGATGCGAGACACGTAGATGTAATTTTCCACTTTCTACTCGATATCGCTCGAAATCCCGGTGAAATTTGGACGAGCGGACGGTGAAATCTCAGGCGGAGTGTTATTCGCGTTGCGATCAGGAGTGTTGCGACACCTCGGAGGTATCGATACCAATATTGAAACGGGTGTGTCTGGTCAAGGGTGTCGATGTCATTAGCGATCCCAGTTACCTCGGCAATCAACTAAATGACCGTGAAATTAACGCAACAGAAATCATGAGAAAGGATATTAAAACGTAAATTGCATTTAATGCTAATTTTCATGAAGCAGAAATACATGACGCCTTGAAAATCGGTTGAGTAACAAATGAAAAGAAAAAAGGACCGGCATGATGTCGAAACAAAGACTACTACACAGACTAGTACTGGTATGGGTGCGAATTAGAGACGGGCGATGTAAAATATATCGATATTTATAAATGTCTATAAATATCGTAAATAAAAATATCGATACACCAGAAATATCATGCGGTATGTGTCGATATAAGGCGATATCGTTGATATTTCTATTATCGGCTGCATTTTAACGAAATATCCGTATATCTCTGATTCTTTTCTAATCGTGATAAATAGCAGCGACCGTCTCGCTTTTAACCGGCCGCGTTTGGAGTCCGCAGCCGTGCGTTTCTCAAGAAAAGGGAGCGCAATTTTATTCAGATGTGGGATCGGATGAGAGACCACGCCGAACTGTTTCCTAACTTAATCTTCAGGCACACGCAATACCCCGTAAGCCTCAAATACGCGCGTACGCAGGATGTGAGACGCTCGGATCGTTTGGCGCGACCACGTGGGCGGCGGCAGGTCATGGCCAATGGATACGAGATCTCGGTGGACGATCCGCTATTCTCCCGGTATGGACGTATCCACACTTCTCCGTGCAACCGGCGATTTGCGAAGGGCGACTTCCTGCATTACGGGGAATTCTGCGAACCGGGCTTTTGTCCGAGAGCGGCGTGCGGGCGCGAGCATTCTATCACGCGTGACAAAACTATATCCTCCTCGTGTCTCTTTTTTTCTCTTCTTCTTCTCTCTCTTGCGAGCTAGCGAATAACTTTGAGTTCTTAGAAAAGGAATCACTTATGCATTCGTGCAGAAACAAGAAGGAAGAAAGAAAAGTAATGACGACTCGGATTTACATACGTACCGCGGACACTTCACCCCGGCTCGCCGGTATTTGTATTCAAAATCGCGGCCACGCATTCGCATTTTGCGAACGCTAACAATGTGAATTTGAATACGGAAGCCGAAGCAAGTGGCAAGTCGCGGCCGCTTTATACTGTAACGTCGCGTCTCATATATTATTCCCGCGGATAGCGCCGCGGCAATTAAATTTAATTTCGCGATTCACGATGACGTATATCGGGGCAAATTATATCCGCCGTCGTCTCTCCTCCCTCCTGCCCGCGAGCAGCAGCCGAGAGTAGCGTTTTCATCGGAGACTTACGACTCGTTCGCTCAGACGTGGTCTCAGCAGCACCGCGCTCTCGATGGCATCTGCAACACACACGAAAAACACACAAGTGAGCTTCGATAAGTGAGCTTGCACTTTCGCAACTTAATAGCGAGCGGACGTCGACCGACGGCGCGAAATCGATCGAATCAATGAGCGCCATCAATTACGTCGCCAGACACAGAAATCGATTGCAAAACGATCGAGGACTTTTTCATGTTAACCTGAACTACGAGCTTGCGTCAAACACCCTGTAGATGTTGTTAGAATTTCTATCGCGTTGTATCTGCATTCTCTTTTTACTTCGCTCACATTCGCTTCCTTCGCTGCCAATCGCAATGGATCGCTATCTAACCGTTCTTACTATTTCGCTTGCTTTCGATTACAATTATATAATATATGCAGCAAAAATTATATATATATATATATATATATAATGTTTTTACTAGTTATTATGTGTATTATTTCGAATCCAGCATGAGCTACACTCGGGGAAATGTTTCGCTAGTCCGGTTAAAATTCTAATGTCTAAATGTCACAGGTGAAATGTAACATTTTTTGTATCTGCTAGAAAATTGTCTGCTGTATAAGCTTGCAGCAGCAGCATTCTAGCAACGTGCGCGAGAAAATTTACCTGCTGTTACTAATTATAAAAATATTATTAGCTTTAATCTGGAACGGCTACGGAGGGAGATTTTCTTGCTGAATTAGACAAATATTGACAATATTGTTCAGACAAACATTCCGTTTGCGTCACCTACATTAATTATATATAACATGTGACGTGTTTGCTAGATATTTATCCATCTTAGCTCAAATTTCCTGTATCTAGATCACTTTTGCGACTGCAAACTTTTTTTCAGCGATATGTTTACTGCGTGTATTTATAACTCATAAGCGTCATTCCAGGAATTAAATATACTCTCTTTCTCTCTCTCTTTCGCGCTCGCTCATTCAAACGGCACATGCAATTGTGTGTACTGCGCGTGTGGGACTCGTGCACCCGGAAAGTTGTTTACGGCGCATATTTGCATTCTGCAGCACACAGGCACGTATCTCTCCGCCGGCGACAATCTCGGCTCCGCGCGGGCTCCCGATTTCTTCGCGGCCGGTTAAATCATTCGCTTGGATTTCCAGCCGTTGCGCGACGGTCACACTTTCGTTCTCATTCTCCCGTTGCGCAAGATTCGTCTCGCGCCGATTTTTCCCGCGTCCGCCGCTGACTCACTTTCCAGACGGGAGATTTCTGGTCCTTGACTTTCCGTCGACCTGGGTAGCAGTCGACGTCCGGCGGCGTGTCGCGCGACGGAAATTGTTGTTACAACACACGTATTTCCTCGGATTTTTTCTCATTTTTTTTTTCTTCTTTTTTACGGAAGCCCGCATCTCTCTCTCTCTCTCTCTCTCTGGCCGCCTTCTTTCGCCATCGCGCCGATTGCAAAATGTCTCTGTTCGAATGTCCCGTTCGCGCGCCCTACTCTCTCGCACCAGTCTTCGTTACATTCGACACGCCGCTTTTCTTCTCGAGTTCATAGGTCAGCGCCGATTACGACGTACGCGGCGTTACGTATTTTAATGGCGTTTATCGTTATCAGCGTTAAATACGATTTCTTCGTTTTCCTTGAACCGGTAGAACATTTTATGCTGTACACGCGCCGATAATAACACATAACGATCCGTGCAGATGCGGTAAATGAGGAATAGCCGAGCTGCGGGATCAACAGTTGAGAGATCGCCGGGTGTTTTGCAGTGGCGGAGCTTAAAATACACCTAACGACTCGCAGGATGCAGAATCGAAATAATAATTGACTAACGTGGAATAGCCGAAATCTTGTCTCCTGATACTTTGGTGGGATAATTAATTGTTAAAACGTGCACATTGAGAGAAGAAAGTGCTATCGTTCTCGTATTATTTATTTGATCCGAGTAAAATGATTACTCGAACACTTCTTGGAAAAGATTTACTAGAAATAGAAATTTAATTAACTATCTACACAGAGATGAAAGGATTTCTTTGGCATTGATAAAATTTCTTGAATTGAAACAAACTTATCTTTTAGAATAGAGCAAACAAACGAATGTTTGATTTAACGAACAGGATTGTTTGATTTCTCAAACAATAAATATTGTTAAGTCAAACGGTTTATTTCTTTCATAATTGTATTAAATGCTCTCTTAAATTGAAAACCATTTTATACTTCCAATCAATAATTCATTTAAAAATTAAGATATTATCGTGTTATCGTACAAGTATTTTCCACAAGCTACTAAAATATACTTAAGCCGATGAAAATATTACTTGACTGAGAAGGACAAGTAATTACATTGATTTGATTCCAGCACATTTTTCCGTGTGATTACGATTTGAAAGGGAGGATCACCATTCGCGATCTTGCTGAAAGTATTTCCTGTTTCCTACGGGAAAAAAACTGTCCTGAAGCATGGAGGATACTTTACATGCGTAAGACAATGGCGATCTCGCGTGAATCAGCAGCAAATTCGTGACGAGCGGAGCGCGCCGAGCGTGCACGCCAGGTTTGGTCACGGCTCGCTTTTTGCCGGCTCCGTTCTTAACGGTACCGGCGCGTCCTCGTGGTCCAGTTCACCACGTGTTTCCAGGAGAACCCGGCGATTCGAGAAGGCATACACTCGGAGGTCGTACACCTCCGTATAACAGGGAGTGGAAGGTACCTGCTCGGGAACCTCGCTCGCATGATTTCGGCGATTCCTGAACGGTATCCGCACCGTCTCTACTGACCCCGGTCAATCCTTATTTATCTTAATACATTCGTCGACCCGTTCCGAACGCGAAAGTCTCCGATCAGCAGAGTCCTCGCAGCAGCGACTTGTTATGTTTCCCCCGAAACATCGGTATTTTTAATTCGGCGAAAAATTTATCGCTGTACGATTAACAGTTGAAAATAAACGCGGATAAATACGTGATATTGCGCGTATGTGTGTATGCGTGTGAATATGTGAGCGAAACGCGGAGTAATTTTTCCGAGGCGTCGCACACACACACAGGAGAGCGCGATTAATCATGCTCTCATGAATGGACTATTATTAGCGGACTAATATACCGTCGCTGTTAACGAACTCTCCGCCGTAATAGCGCCGCGCCGTATCTTCCGTGGAATAACGTCACTTCGTGTAACGGCACCTCCGGCCCGGCGGATTCGAGCGTTTTACAACGAGCGTTTGCTACCTCGCTGAAATAATCGGCCATTCGCATCTATGCGTTTCCCTCTTCCGAAAGAATAAAACTCGCGGGAGACCGATCAATCTTGCGGAGCTCGCAGAAACGACGAGCATTAATTTATCATTACAGGAACGCGCCCGCGTATAAGTATAGCGGAACGTGTCCGTCGTTTCTTTCCTTTTCCTCTTTTAAGAGGCTTATCTCCTGAATCTGCACCGATTCATTCTGTCATCATCCATGATCAAAGCGCCCGGATAATCAATGATATACCCAATCATGTAGCCACATCGTCGATCGCCGCTCAACCGGACTCGACTTTGATACTTAATGGCGGAACTTAATAGCACGTAATTCCGTCCGGCAGCAGCACGGGATCTCACCGGGGAGATCTTCCAGTGGGGAAAATTCAAGATAGCGACGAGAATCTCCGCCGATCTTCTTCGGGTTACAGATTCATCAACGGTGAGACCCCCGCTTTTAGCCTGACTTCCGCCGAGAATGTCGCGCCAGAACGCGAATTTGCAACTTCGCTGGCCTCATCTCGGGATCGTTTCCAGCTGGGGTCTCGAATGACCCCAGGTGACTATTCTCGGGTTAATTAGCACGGGCGCACCTCACTCGCACCTGCGATCAACGAAGCGACTGGAAGAAGGTGGAGCTCGCCGGCGCAAAGTTGAGCGCGGATAGCAGACGCGAAATTCCAGTTGCGGAGAAATCGGGATACCGTAACGAATTGGAGGAAAAGAAACCCCGAAGTCACGCACGACTCTCCGGACCGGCGTTACTTTGAAGTCATCGATGGACAATAGCGATAACGCGGCCGGTGTGAGCGGGAACGTTAATTGGTTCGGAGCGAAGGCATGTACTTTCACGTCTGTGTGTGTATGTGTGTCAAATATTCCCGGCTGATATTTCGAAATGTCCCGTCGTTGTCGTTGATCGGCAGATACCGCGGAAATGTATTACCGGGCATTGAGAAATGCATTTATCATAGCACGAGCGAGAGCGAATACAAGTTTCACTTCTTCTTGCAACTTACATCTCTCTCTTTCTCTCTCTCTCTTCCTCCCATTTTCCACGTGGAAATACATCGCATTGGATTACAGAGACCACCGTCCGTTAAAATTACAGCCGTGCGAGATAAAACAGCTTCGTCTATCGCAGCGGTTTGTAAAAAAGATGGGAAAGTAGCAGCAGCTGAGCAGAATAGAAGCCGGGGTGACGGAGAGACCACACAAGGTAGGGCCCTCCTTTCTCGCGCGGACACGCGAGGTGTATCGGCATCGTGCATTCGTGCGAAACGATTAAGCGGGCATACCGCGGCGCAGCTGAAATCACGGCTGGGAGATAACGCGGATAGGCCAGTCAACCCTGGGCGATCGCGAATAACAAGATTCGCGCTCGGCGAGTTCCTCGATGATCGCCTATGACCGATTCGATTAGCGACGGCCGAGCGACTCACCGTGCGAGTCGTGTGCCGCGGCCGACAGATCGCGAGACACGATCGCTGTCGGTTCGCATACACTTCAGGAAGTGATTGCGAAAGAAGGATGAATTCAAGCGACGAAGCAACGACCGCTGCAGCCGGTCATGTGATCTGACAGATAACGACTTGACGTAATTCGAAACGCGTCTCCGGATCCTTACACGTCGGTATCTTTTATTTACTCTCCGCGATTCCGCTCTCGTCCCTCCTCTCCCGTCCTATTCACGCGAGGAACGGCGGGAAGAATCATCGATTATAGAAACTAATTGAGAAATAGATTTTTCACAGCTGTGTGGCAGCTGTCTGCGAGGCAAACCTTTCGAGAAGGAGGTAGCGCCGAGGCCCCTCTTGATATCTTC